GTATAATCTCTACAAAAATATCTTTACTGCAAAAGCATCTTCTTTACAAAAATATCGTCTCTACAAAAATATCTTCTCTACAAAACTATCTTCTCTACAAAAGTAATGATATCAACAAATTGCGCCAAATAAAACAGCGGATATTTATACACACTAGTTGCTTTAGCATTAGTTTTTGATTAAAAAATGTTATATTTCTTAAAAAATCAAACTAAAGATTTTATTGGAAAAAATAATCGAGTTAATAATAAAACACCGATGAAAAGAATAGCAACTGTTTAAAAATTTAGAAACTCTGTATCTGTTCAGGCGAATTAAAGCGTGTGTCTATGACGCTAGTACTTGGTCGAAGTTCTAGTTTTGAGGAATGCGTAGCCAATCAACTTGCAGCTTTTGTGGAACAGCTACATTGATTGGCTACATATTTCGCAGAATTAGAAACTTGGACCAAGTAGTAGCGTCATAGACACACGCCTTAATTCGCCTGAACAGATACAGAGTTTCTAAATTTCTAAACAGTTGCTATTCTTTTCATATCGGTGTTTTATTATTAACTCGATTATTTTTTCCAATAAAATCTTTAGTTTGATTTTTTAAGAAATATAACATTTTTTAATCAAAAACTAATGCTAAAGCAACTAGTGTGTATAAATATCCGCTGTTTTATTTGGCGCAATTTGTTGATATCATTACTTTTGTAGAGAAGATAGTTTTGTAGAGAAGATATTTTTGTAGAGACGATATTTTTGTACAGAAGATTTTTGTGGCGACACTATTTTTGTAAAGAAGATGCTTTTGCAGTAAAGATATTTTTGTAGAGATTATACTTTTGCAAAAAAGATAGAGTAACAAAATAAATTCGGTTGAATTGGAGCTTAGACTTGGTGCTTTTTCTTACCTTTTTTTAAAAAGGTAAGTTTTTTAGGTGATTTTCTTTACGCCAGATAGCACAAAGGTGAAACATGAGTTCATAGAAATTTCATTTTCAAGAATACCTGAGGAGTAAGAAAACTAAATATCTGAAGAATTCTTGAAGAATCAACCACAATCAGTTCGTCTTCAAGTATTCCTCAGAAGTTCATTATCGTGCATGTAACTTCCCTAATTATTCTTATTGTATTCTTCTATAAATTCCTGAAGAATTACAATTCAAAAAGGAAGAAAACTTTAAGAATACTTTGCGAATTTGCCGTGCTATCTGGAAAATTACTCGTTTGACTTTGCCTTACATTTCTTTGCAGTGAATAAAAAGTCTCTTACGTTCTCGACTTTGGAAGACGAGGCGGGAGAAAAGTTAAACGAGCTATTTGGGGTGGAACTCGCTCTTCTCAGGGTGCAACCTAGCGGTTGCTTAATGCCGCCGAGCTATGTTCTCTACGCGCAGAAGATACGTGACATGCCAGTGTACGATGACGACATCTGGATTATCTCGTTTCCTCGAACTGGTGAATATATCTTACAATTAGTAAAGCAAGTATAAGTGATTCTCTAACAATAAGTAAACGCGATTGCGCAACAATTAAAAAGGAAAAATTTGAAGGAATAAAGGACTAAGAGCCGTGACAGGGTATTAGTGTCTAAATATTTTATTCTAAATAAATTTCCAGGTTCAAACCCTGGCTGAGGTAATATTTTTTCACCAGTTCGAGGAAACGAGATAATCCAGATGTCGTCATCGTACACTGGCATGTCACGTATCTTCTGCGCGTAGAGAACATAGCTCGGCGGCATTAAGCAACCGCTAGGTTGCACCCTGAGAAGAGCGAGTTCCACCCCGAATAGCTCGTTTAACTTTTCTCCCGCCTCGTCTTCCAAAGTCGAGAACGTAAGAGACTTTTTATTCACTGCAAAGAAATGTAAGGCAAAGTCAAACGAGTAATTTTCCAGATAGCACGGCAATAAATTTAAGAATAAAATATTTAGACACTAACACCCTGTCACAGCTCTTAGTCCTTTATTCCTTCAAATTTGTGTTTATCACATTTGAGCCGTACGAATTTTATTCGTTTGTTAAAAACGAAAAATCCGACTTCCTCGATCGCAGCTTCCTCGATAGAAAAAACTGGGAAAAATTATGATTAATTCCATTGAATGCAATTAGGATGACTTAAACTTTGATTAACTGATTAACTAATCCATAACTATAAATCCATTAATATTTGTAATATTGCGTTAGTACGAGCGAAATTATTAATTCTTTACTGTTCAACACGTAAATGAAAAGATTGAATTAGGGATACGTTCAAAACTTTTGCCGCGAGAAATGTTATCGATGTTTTATCAAATTCTCATTTGATCACGGTATTATATCTAATTTGTTTTCTCAAATGTCTCTTCTTTGTACAAATGCATTTTAGGAAGTCACTGGGTGCAGGAAATGACGTGGTGCATCGGGAACAATTTTGATTACGAAAAAGCTCGCACGATTATAATGAAACGGAGTCCTACGCTCGAGTAAGTTGACTAGCGATTTAATGATATTTTGTTATCGCAAGAGAAATTATACGCCACCTCTAGTATTCTCCTTTGAAAAATTTACTTTAAATGAAATTAAAGGTTTTAAATTTAATCTTTCAAGTTTAAGAGTTTATTTAAAGAAGTTAAAAGTTTACTTAAGAAATTTTAGAGTAATATTGGACACTTCCCATACAGTACAGATGGTTGCAGTTACATTGCAGAAACGTTGCAATCTTGCTGATTACAGTGCAATCTTGCAGAGACATTGCAGGGATATAAAATTGCAAACTGTCGATAGCAATATTGCAGCAATGTTTCAAAAATAATAAAAATACTATATTTTCTATTTAAAAAATTTTTCTAATTACGAGAATTTCATAATGTTATTTTTGTTGATACCAATAATGGGCGAACTATTAAGTACTTGATCAGTGCGATGTTGCTCGCAATCTTCATCTATTGCGAAGTGATATAACCTCCTTAGGTTGCTTCACAATAGCTTGCTATTATGCATTGAAAAAGGCCCGGATGTATATGGGTCATTCCATATCAGATTTACAATCAAAATTTTGATTCGCCTGAAAATTTTTTTTCTCGTTCTAGAAAGGAAAAAAAATGACACGTATTTTTTCTTTTTAATATGATATGTAAATTTTCCAAGTTATTGATTTTTTAATTTTTAAAGTGCTAAAAAAAATTTTTTTCCAATAA